ATATATGTGTGTGTGTGTGTGTGTATGTGTATGTGTGATGCAATTTACGTGTGGTACTAGAAATTGAGAAATTATGGCAATTTCATATTATTCTGGTCAGGGATCCCTGGAATATCAGAATCGGCTTCAACCTATAGACACTGTTTTCAAGTCTATAGGGTCCATGGGAGAAAGATTTGTATTAAGTATTTGCACTGACAAATGGAAAACAAAAGGATTGTATATTTTATTCTTAACTAGGACTTGCGCAGCAAACTCCAGGGTAGAAGACTGGAATTAGTTCAGCTGGTTCATGTGGAAATGCTGGTTTTTTTGGCATCTAGTTAAGCTTAAATTGTTTCAAACTTAAGCAGGCCATGAGATGAACCCTTTTCATCTCCCCAGTTCTCAAACATGCCGAGATCTTCCCCACATTTCACTCCTTTCTGTCATTTGCCCTGGGTCATGTAACCACAGTGAGCCCATTTGCCCTGGCTGACTGCTGATCTTGCCTTGGACACCTGCCCTAGCCTCTTCTGTCCAGGCAGATGGTTTGGCCCCGGCTGTCCCTGATGATGGGGGGTACAGGAGGGAGTGACAACCTTCTCAACCACTTCAGTCACATGGAAGAAGGAGAAAAGTGAGCTTGCATGTGTGTGCTGACCTTTTAACTGTGATGCTGCCCCATGACACACAGACCCAATCAGTGTTCTCACATCTGCCTTCTTCCTTCCTGAGAATCAGGAGAAAGAAGAGCTCCTTGATTTCTCAACTCAAAAGACAGCACATAAAAACTCGCAGCCGTTCTCAGAAGCACTGGTTTTCTGTTGGCTTGTTGCCCGCGTCAAATCAGCCAGAAAGAGGTGGAGTAACAACTGACTTGCTGAGAATTACACACAATCCATGTCCCCCCAGCCGCTCCTCAGCTACACATCAACCTGCAGAGAGTGACTTCTAACTCGAGACACTCTTTCCTCTTGCTTAATCGTTCATAACGTGTTCTTCATTTTCCTCCTACCACTTTTTTTTCTTTTTTTGCTGTGTTATTCTCCTGTATTTGGCCATAAAATGTTGATGTTCCACCAATCAGCCCTAGGCCCTTCTGTCATTCTTCTCTTCCTAAGCAGTCACAGCCATGTCCATGGCCTCACTCATGGGCAAATCCAACATTTTCATCTCTACCCTAACTTCTGCTGTTGAGAACTCGATCTGCTAATACCTAATTGCCTACTGGACATCTCTACTTGGATGTCTAAAAAAAGTATTCTAAACTCAGCATATCCAGGATTTATTTCATATTTTTCCTCTGAAAATGCTGTTTACTATCTTAACGAAAGGCATCACCGGTGGGCTGGGCACGGTGACTCACACCTGTAATCCCAGCACTTTGGGAGGCTGAGTCAGGTAGATTGCCTGAGGTCAGGAGTTCTAGACTAGCCTGGCCAACATGGTGAAACTGTCGCTACTTAAAAAGCACAAAAAACTCACCTGTGTGTGGTGGCAGGTGCCTATAATCCCAGCTACTTGGGAGGCTGAGGCAGGAGAATCTCTTGAATCCAGCAAGCAGAGGCTGCAGTGAACTGTGATTGTGCCACTGCACTCCAGCCTGGGTGACACAGTGAGACTCCGTCTCAATAAAAAGACATACACACAGAAAAATCATTGAGCGGTGCATCTTTTGTTGTTGTAATCAGCAAAGCGTAACTCTGTAACCTATATTCAGGTCATTAAATAGATCAGTGCCAGTGCTCCTGAAAGCCCTCCCTAACTTCCCCCTAATCAACTATATGCCTCCTCCTTCTCAAAAATGTTACCTCTCTCCTTTCATGAGAATCATTTTCTTAATTTTTTAATATTGTACCCAAACTTGGTAGTTTAGTTTCCCCTGCTCTTTGAACTTTATATAAATGGAACCATTTAGTTTGTTTTATTTGGCTGCTTTCACTCAGTGTCATTTTGTGAGATTCACCTGTGTTTTATGGAGCTGTGGTTTGTTCATTAGTCATTGCTGAATAATACTCTATTAGGAATCTAGCACAATTGATGTATTCACGCTCTCTCTTTTTTTTGGAGACTGAATTTCACTCTTTTCACCCAGGCTGGAGTGCAATGACGTGATCTCAGCTCACTGCAACCTCCACCTCCTGGGTTCTAGTGATTCTCCTGCCTCAGCCTCCCAAGTAGCTGTGATTACAGACATGAGCCACCACATCCGGCTAATTTTGTGTTTTTAGAAGAGACGAGGTTTCATCATTTTGGTCAGGCTCATCTCGAACTCCTGACCTGAGGTGATCCACCCCTGCCTCTGCCTCCCAAAGTGCTGGGATTACAGGTGTGAGCCACTGTGCCCGGCCTGCACTGTTGTCTTTAAACTTTTCAAAGACAGCTAGGCAGGGATAGACCTGTAACCGTATCCCAGGACAGGCACCAGAACACTCAGTGTAGCATGGATCATGATAGTAAAAAAACAGGGAACAACAACCAGTTTTTGCAATGAATGGGAGAAAGGTAATTCCAGCAGGGCACATCCACATGCCAGACAAGCATGTATCATTAACACAAATGAAGCAAGCCAGGCATGGCAGCAGTGTACCTGCAGCCCCAGCTACGTGGGAGCTTAAAGCAGGAGGATTGCTTGAGCCCAGGAGTTTGAGGCTGTAGTGAGCAATGATCACTCTACTGTACTCCAGCCTGCGGGACAGAGCGTGACCTCATTTCAAAACCAAAACTAAAAAAAAAAAAAAAAAAAAAAACGAGAGAAAAAAAGCAAGCAGATCAGAATGAACCCAGATGATATACTATTAACTACACAAAGAGAACTCTATGTACAGTATGATCCCATTTAAATCTGTCAAAATATTTTTTAAAAACCTATATGCTTATACATTTTCTTCTAAAAGCATGTACAAAACTGTCACTTTGGAGGAGAGGAACTGCTGGAAGAGAAGACAATATACTTTTTATTTTATATCTTTATGATTTTTTTTTCCCCTACAGTGGATGACAAGTATTTGTTCAGCACCTGCTGTGCATTGTTTTATGTACTGAGGATACAGCAGCCCACCTGGAGCTGACATTCTAGTGGGGAAAGAAGTATACTTTAAAAAATTCTTTTAATTTTTTTTTTTTTTTTGAGAAAGAGTCTTGCTCTGTTGCCCAGGCTAGAGTGCAGTGGCTCAATTTTGGCTCACTTCAACCTCTGCCTCCCAGGTTCAATGGATTCTCATGTCTCAGCCTCCTGAGTAGCTGGGATTATAGGCATGCATCACCATACCCAACCAATTTTTTTTTTTTTTTTAAGCAAAGACAGGGTTTTGCTAGGTTGGCCAGACTGGTCTGGAGCTCCTGGCCTCAAGTGATACTCCTATCTCGGACTTCAAAAGTGCTGGGATTATCGGTGTGAGCCACCATACCCAGCCCAAAATAAGTAGATTTTAGAGTGTGTTTAGACCATGCCATGTCTGTGGTCTAACCACACTTGACATGTGGTCCACCGGACTCTGACAATCCACACTTTGTGACCAGTTGGTGATCATATGAGGAGGCAGCACCACAATGGAGATCAACTATGGCACCAACCGTGCCATTCAGCTCAGCTCACATTTTTTTTTCTTACAAGGCTTTCTTAATGCAGGAAGCAGAAGGCACTGGTTCCCATGTGGCACAAATGCCTTAGCCTGCCATGTGGGCCAGGCTGGTCTCAAACTCTTGGACTCAAGTGATCTGCCTGCTTTGGCCTCCAAAGTGCTGGGATTACAGGCGTGAGCCACCGTGCCCAACTGCCACCTGCTCATTTATAAAGCCCTCTGTGATTCACTTGCAACCAAGATTGAGAATCCCTGGTGCAGAGTGCCTCCCCGAGTCCAGGAATGGTCTGCAGCCCCCACTCCCTGTGGCTGTTTCTTTGAGACCCTGCATTTTCGAGTTCTGCTTTTATTTGTGTCACGCTCACCGTGCCGCCGGCTGTGTATTTATCCCTTTTGTATCTTCCGTCCAGGGTCCTCTCCCACCTCTTCTGGGGTCAGTCCTTTGTTGCCTTACATTGTGGTGCTTTCTCTTCTGGCACCAAAGAATGAGGCAGCCAGTGCAGAGAGGGGCTGTAGTCGTCATCACTGAGGTACTGTGAACCAGGAAAGAGATATGATCTGTTTCAACACAGCACAGTGCCCATGCGCCCTTGATAAATGTTGGCTGTCATTGTCATTGTTGATGTTCTGGTGATTATTGTTGATGCTGGGTGGATTCTTCTTGGGATCGGGGCAGATACCCAGCTGTCCTGTCCCTCAGTGTCCTTATCACGGTTCTTCTCTAAGTCTGCAGCTAAGGCATCTGCCAGGGCTGGGGTCTCATCTTAGACTCAGCCAGGGAAGGGCCCACTTCGAAGCTCACCTGTTTGTTGGCAGAACTAGGTTCCCCAGTTGTTCAAATGTTGAACTACTTCCTTAATACTGTGGAAACAGCCAGTGCCCCAGGTAACTTTTACAGTGAACTCTCGGGAGCTCTCTGTGATCTGGGCACTAAAGGGTTAATTCCTGGCACTCCAGGGGTCCCTGGGCCTCTGCCTGTTGGATGATGCCCTTGTCAAACTGGTTATCTATTTTGAATATCACCTCTTCTTGCAGTGCTTGGGAGCCAGGGGGCTATGCCCTTTCCCTCCTGCAGTTCCTTGCACCCTGATCCTGGGGAAGTGAGCTTAACAGAGCAGATACTGTTATCTGGGCTGGGTTCTACCCATCGCTGCTGGTGCAGGATGCTGGCTTGGGCCCAGTGCCCTCAGTGGATGGAGCTCTCTGCACAGCTGCAAAGCACCGTTCCTGCACCAAGGGACTGAACTCCAGATACCACCTGCCCCTCAACCAGACAGCCTGTTTACGGCCTCTGCAGAGCAGGTCTACTTTCTGAGCATCCTGACTGTCTGGTGTTCTGCCATCTCCTCCCTGAAGTGGCCAGTTTTTCTTGCCCTTGGTTTTAGCATTTGGCTTATATAACTCCCCTCCCATCCTTTGTCTCTTTTTTGCCAGGGGTCACGAGCATCAGCAGTCCAGGAAAGGAAGCAAAGCAAATGGTGAATGACATGCTGGTGACAGACAGTGCAGGGAGGCAACTACAGAGGTAAGTGGGGAGAGGTGGCGTGACTCACACAGGCCTCATGATTTCACCATCTGCCCATGCTTTTGACACTTGAGTTCCCTACATAGTGTGGGTCTTTGCTCAGGTCACTTGGAGGGGCCTGGAAGGTTCAATCTTTGTGAAACAGCATTCCATATAAAACTACCTCAAAGCCAGGAATGGAGGATCATGCTTGTAATCTCAGCACTTTGGGAGGTCATGGCAGGAGGATCACTTGAGGCCAGAAGTTTGAGACTACCATGGGCAACATAGCAAGACCCCATCTCTACAAAAGAGGAAATATCCTCATGTTTGATTAAAGGGGCTTCCTTAGATCCCTCAGGATTTACAGCATATGCAGTATGTTAACCATGTTAGCTTTTAAAAACTGGCTAAGTTGGATGGGTATGGTGGCTCACACCTGTAATCCCAGCACTATAGGAGGCTGAGGTGGGTAGATCACCTGAGGACAGGAGTTCAAGACTAGTCTGGCCAACATGGTGAAACCCTGTCTCTACTAAAGATAGAAAAATTAGCCAGGCATGGTGGCAGGCGCCTGTAAATTCTAGCTACTTAGAAGGCTCAGGCATGAGAATCATTTGAACCCAGGAGGCAGAGGTTGCAATGAGCTGAGATTGCACCATGGCACACCAGCCTGGACAACAGGGAGTCCGTCTCAAAAAACAAAAAGAAAAAAACAACAAAAGAACAACAAACATTGACAAAGTCAGAGCCTAAACATACCAGACCTTGGGGATTTGAGAAAGGATGGTGGACCTGCAGTTGCTATAGGGGTCAGAAGAAGGCAAAGATGATGTGGCCTAGCACTGTGCCTTGGTACATGTCACTTTTGCCATTGTGATCGTCTTAAACAGCCTGCATTCTAGTGGGAGATTCCAGACAGTGCATGAGTACAGAAGGATGTAAGATTTTCATCCCAGGTGCTAGCTTAGGTCATGAGGCAGGAAGCCCCGGCTCCCCACCTGAATTCTAGATTTCATCCAGAGTTGGTTCTGATTCTTCCCTCTGCTGCTCCCTGAAAACCCACACTTGCTTTTGGATTTCCAGGCCACTTCCACCTCACTTGGACTTAACCAAAGACCTTTGCACAGATCTCATGGGCAAGGAAAGGTTACCCACCCCCAGGCCCTAGATCAAAGAGGGGAGGTGCTGGAGGTTTATTTGGCCTTCAGGAAGTGTTTTCAGGGGACACAGTTTTGGGGGTGCAGTGATGAATCACATGGGGCTCTTGACCTCAGGTAGCTTGTAATTTTGTTCAGGAGATAAGTAGGTAGAAGGCATAGAAAGTTCCACGGCAAAGAGCCACATCTGTGTTTTGTATGGCCTCCATAACTTTTTTTCTTTTGTT